AAATGATAACACACTCTGGTAATGAACTGAACGGTCCATCTTCCCTCTTTCAATCAGAGTTCTTATATTGTATTTGTAATGAATTTATGTCAAACTGCTTATTTAAAAAAAATTAAAAAAAAAGCCCGCTTAGTTTCTTTCGCCGGTTCTTCTCAGTACAATGGCTTTCTTTTCCGAACCGGTGGTAGTGTTTTGAGTATCAATAAGCGAGTGTAATGCTCCTATATTGAATAAAGACATTTGATTTTAATTTTGATTTTCGAGTAGTTGTGAGAATACGTGGACTACAAAATTAAGGCTAAAAATTTGTATACATTTTCCTGTTTTAATTGATTTGATTTATTTGCATCCCTTATTAGTTAATAATGGTTAATATTTTTGTATATTACTTGGGTGTAAATCAATGTACGATATACTTTAAATGAGCCGAGTGTTTTTCGACCTAACAAAAAAATTTTGAAAAATCACTTACGAAATAATCAACAAGCAGAATTTTCTGGTCGGTTATAGTTTTTGAGAAAAAAATATATATTTAAAACTAGTTATTTTCACTACGATAGTCCGCCATTTTACTAATTTGACTTCTAAAACTGAATACACCGTACTGCCAGCATGATAAATATAGAATGCGGGCGACGTCATACTCGTATCAATTGTTCGATTATTTTTTTTTTATTTAATGAGTCAGTTGAGATCCGATATAGAGCACACCGACTCGGATAGGTTAGGTTAGAAAAAATCAGGAAAGCTTAGCCTTCGTGATTTTTTTATAGCCACCCAGAAATACTCATGACCCAGAAATAATAAATGTAGTACATGCGGGCATAGCCGCGGTTGAAAAGCTAGTTGGAAATATGATTCGTTTATCAATAACAATATACTACAACAGGAAATATTTCTTGGAAACGAAAATGCTTCATAAATTTTTGAACATACGCACAATTAATGAAATTCAACCTTTTGGTGATAAGTGCAAAAATACCTGCTGTGACGTCGTGGACATTAACTCGTGTTGTGATGAAGACGAATGAATGTTAATGGCAAGGAATTTTAGAATTTTCATAGAAAAACATAAATTTTACAGGAAGTACGTTTCTTTTCTTATATTTATGTTTAAATTAGTTAATTGAAAAAACATTGATAGTTTTAGTTGAACGTTATCAAATCTGCCACACTACTCTGTCTTACATAGTCTTCGTCGTCTAGGCACTCAGCGCAAACTACGCGTTACTACTACCATAAGTTTCTGATTTCCTGATACTTTCGAGGCCCAGTACACGTGTTTTAGTTGTAAAATCTAGGGTGAGAGAGACGTTAGGTAGAGAGAGAGAGAGAGAGAGAGAGAGACAAACTATAATCGATTAGCACATTCATTCGGATGTTTTCAATAAACTAACTCTAGTAATGTTTGTTGTCCTGGTACATTCGGTGGCAAGGCACGTGGTCGCGACTGTAGGGATGAACTGCGATATCAGCTATCATCAGTTTTCTTTCTCTTTCCCACTTTTACTACGTTCATTCTATGCAAAAATAGAAGTAGGTAATGAATATAAATAACTATAATTTTTAGTTTCATTTCCATTATTTTCGAAACGTTTATAGGTATGTAAAGTGATATTACCGATTTACTATCTAGACGCTGGTTAACCCCACGCGATTGTCTAGATTCATAAAGCACACTACTTCAATTTTCTGTTTTCCTGGTACATCGGATACACTCATACATGTGATTTTGTTTCCCATTTTAAGGATGAGAGACATATCTTAGTGACTGATAGAGGGAGACAATGGTAGAGGGAGACAATGGTAGAGAGAGACAAACTGCTATCTACAGCGCGAAGGGGTGAGAGACGATCTACTGACAAGTTAATGCTGCGACTTTACTTTCCTGACATATTTTTATTGCTTGAATCAGTTTATAAAGTAAGTGGCTGAAAGTTCCAATACTACAAAGAGCTGCGAAGAAGTTTCTATCATTTTGTCAAATGACTGCTCTCAATGAGTGATTTTTGCCGTCTTTCCATACATTTCTAATATGTGGCTAGTACCATACATTACTAAGTGCAAGGAATAATTTCAAAAAGTAACATAAAATGGAGTATCCAAATCCATTTTAAACATTTCTATGAATAAAAGCAGAACACAAACGACAAACAAACTCATCGAATAGTAAATTTTGTAGATAGAATTGTATCGGTTTCAACGAGCAAGTGACGCACACACGCTTATTGCAATTTAGTCCTCGCGGATTTCTGATAGCCTGGTTCTTTAGTGGCCAAAACACGTGCTCGCTCTAAGACTATGACGGAGCTGCGCGGGTAACAAGGATGGAAGAGAGAGAGAAGGTTTTGGTTATACGATGTAGGATGGGGTGGACGAATTGAAATGAAGAAAATGAATCAAAAGATAGACCCAATAATTTTTTTTTAGTAAAAACTGCAAAAAGCAGAATTAAAATTTTTTTAAAATAAAAAAAGAGCTAAAACACAATATGGGCATATGATACTTTTTTTGAATGTACTGAGGTTTTGGTAGCATATATTATCTAGGTATCTAATGATTTCTGCTAACAAGTTTATTGTAGATGGAACCATTCCAACCAACATTACCAACAATCGACTTTCTGTAAATGGGGTTATTTTGAGCGAACTTATTTGTGTTAATAATAGTGTAACGAATTTGTAATCGAGGTTTCGCATGTTAAGCATTTTTTGTGTTGTTTAATTAGGCTGTGAATTGCTGAAAATATTATTAATTACTGGTTTTGTTTATAGTCCAATTCTGTGTTTCGGTCACCATAAAAACAGTTGGCCATTCGGGCCTGATAACACTTGACACACACTAACTTCGTGCTAAAAAAACACAATTTCACATGCTACAAGCACGGCGTAACTAATGCACCGCCTACACTAAATTCATCCGGGTTAAGAGGCGATTGTCATCTTTCCCAAGCATCGATTAATTAATACAGTCGACAGTTATCACCGAGACCCAATAGCCTACACCCTTATTAACTAATAACCCAACTCTTGGAAATTATATTTCCAGGGGACCAAAATTAGATGAAGCTTAATATTTTATCTCTGGACTGAAAGCATAACTTTGTTAATAAAAGTGTCAAGTCATAAGGATATCATTATCCATTATTGTATATTATTGTATATTATTATCCAATAATATACAAGACTATCATGAAACGTACCAGTGCTATTTCAGCTTAATAGTCTTTTGGGTAATATCGGTTACTTTTGTGGATACCCTCAATGCGAAATCTATCACGTCGAGAAATAGCGAGCATAGATGCCTGAATGACTTTGAGCTTCCTTATACGGCCAGCAGTGAAGGGTAGTGAATCACTGGCTACAGAAGAAGTATATATAACATTTCCACTTCACCCCGGTCTTCTGTGAGGTCATAGTACTTAACATTAGTGCAACGGGAAAAACTAATAGTTTTAAGGCCTACCACAGTTACGCCACCCTTGAAGATAATACGTCCCTTTTTCTACAAATTTTAATGTTTCATCTTAAGTGCAGAGGAGATAAGCACTATAAAAATTTCATATAGCAATGGCAACATCTCTTGTTCGAATGAATTGTCGTTATAAAGTTGTACGCTCAAAATACTACGTGGTTGTGGAAGCGAGCGTAGGTACCAGGACGACAGCCATGGCGAGTAGTAAGAGAACGAAGGAGTGAGAGTACTACTTAACTACACAACATTACAACATCGAAGTACCCATTCCACGTGGTTGTGGAATCGGGTGTAGGTACCAGGACGTCAGCAATGGCGCATCGTAAGAGAACGAAGGGGCAAGTACTACACATTACAAAATCGAAGTACCATTCAGCCTCGATGTGTGCAGTAAGCACGCCCCCAAATAGCGGGAAAGCACAACACACGCAGATAGCTATTGTTATTGATATGTTTATCAACGTACGTTTAGTACTCGCGTTAATATTTCGCGTGAAGTGCGAGAGGGACGAAAACTAATTTTAGACGATCGTTGTATAAACCTTTCCTGTTTTATGGTACCCTGGTACAACTAGCGCAATAGCACGTGGCCCGCCCGCATATCCATGATGGCCGCCGGCTTCCGGATAGCGAATGTACCTTTTGCTTGTGCTTGAAAATGTTGTTATGAAATTATTAATATAATTTGCTTACGTGCATATTTCATTGCCATTTATATAAAAAATGAAGATTACTTGATTTTAATAAAATTTAACACAAAGATAAATTTGTCACTTTTAAATTAGTTGCCAATCATTTAGTTATCAATCAATTAGTAAGTGAATAAATGCATATTAATCCAATTGACCTAGAGATTATTCATAACAAAATAACAGACATATTTTTATTGTTTATATAATAAATGCCACGTCCTGAAAGAGCCGGCAAGGTTCAACGGTTGCATTGCATCCTCTGTCGGGAAAGAAATATGAATAAAAAAGCAACAGTATGTAGCTTATTCAAAATAATCTTAATTTTTTTAAAGAAGTTACTGTTTGCATAAATTTCTTATACGTATGCAATAACATCCTTAAATGTTGTGTATAGTCTGCCTTGTTAAAATGACTATTTGTGTAATTTTCTCATATTTTATGTGTGGAGCTGTATAAGCAGAAACCCTTTTGCGGGCGTTGAAGAGAATTGATTTTTCAAAAGGAAAAAATGATAGAATGTAAATATGGCATAGGTATAGATAGTCTGAAAAATTCTACAAATTTTTTTTTCGATGGGTTGATTTGATCTGTAAGATCTATCAGCCAATTTTGACACTACTCGTGGACGTTTAAATTAAACCTTCAGTTCTTTGAAAATTTAAGTGTCGTAATATAACTTGATACGCTTTGGTTTAAACTTAAGAGTTCAGTGAGTCTTGTGAAAGTTGTTCGTAAACTCTCAAAAAGAAAAAACATTTTCTGATACGTTTGTACTTTGCTGTCCAACAATTGAGTCATGTGACAAATGTCGTCATTATTTATTTTGTGTGGAAGATGTCGAATAAAAAGTTCCAACGACCTCTGCGACCTGGTAAGATCAAAAAACATTGCTCCCTTAATGTAGGATACCATTATCTTGTGTTGTAAGGACGTTTTTCATACATAAATCTCACGTTGACAAACACCCAGATCAAAAAAAAAATATCTGTGGGTCACACAAACAGTTGTCTCGTGTGGAAGTCGAATCCATGAACCCCTAACTTGGCTTATTTTCCTTATTATTCCATATAATGATTTTCAACTAAAAAAAATCATGTATAAATCTAATCATAATCAAATAATATCAAAGTATTTTTATTATTTGTCGTATCTTCACGTGTTCGTTGAGGCGGAGTGTTCATTCTCTGTGCGTTCTTAGTGGTGCAGTGCCATGTTGTTTTTGGAGAAAAGGGGCAAATGGGCAAGTGGCTCACCTGATAGGAAGTGATCACCGCCGCCCATGAACACCTGCAACACCCGAGGGTTTACAAGTGCGTTACCGGCCTTTTAGGAAAGAGTACGCTCTCTTCTTGAAGGTTCCCCAGGTCGTAACGGTTCGGAGAGCAGGCGGCAGCTGGTTCTACAGAGTGGTTGTGCGAGGCAGGAAATTCTTTGAAAATCGCGCTGTTGTGTAACGCAGGACATCGCGGTGCTGAGGATGAAATTTTTGGTTTGTGTATGCTTGGCTCCAAGATTCTTATAGCATTTTAAGGCACGGATGATGATATCAATCAATAAAGACCGTTTCTACAAAAGAATAATGGAACACACAAGTCTAGATTAGTCATTGGAAACGTCGGAAACTACAGTGAAAACAGAAATAGTAATTAAAGGTCTTTTCTTAAAGACTCTGTCTAAGGTATGATCAAAGAGGTCAATTTAATAAGGCTAAAGTCACAAGTGGAAAACACACCGTCTTCCGATCTTCAGACTATTAGGTTGTAGTCAATTGCATAAAAATAAAAAATAAAAAAATAAAATATTTAGGACACATTTTTACACAATATTTTCTAGTCCCAAACTAAGCAACGCTTGTACTATGGGTACTAGATAAATGATAAACATACTTTTCTTTTGTAAATAAATACATATTATAGATATATAAATACCCAGACACTAGACAAACACTAAGTTCATCACACAATATTTTTCCAGTAGTGGGGATTGAACCCACACCCTCTGGCGTAGGAGGCAGGTACATTAACAACTACGCCATTCGGGTCGTCATGAACCGTGATAGTTATCCAGTTGAAATTCATTCAGCTCACAGATGATGTATTCCCGTTGCCGCTAATTCAACAAATACTAAAAAACAGAATAAAAATAATATTATGCTGTAAAAACTTTCATTTCGTATAATTAGTGTTACATGACTTTAGGGTATCATCTACGTATAAAGTATCTATTTAAAACTACATTTAATAGTAATATTGCAGTACATAGTAATATTGCAGTAATATTGCAAATGAAATCAAATCATCTTTATTTGCAAAAATGTAGTAAATGCAATTCCATTGTAGATGAAGGTACAGACATATTTCGCCTCTTTGGCATGCAAATATCTAACAAATAATATAATTAATACAAACATAATCTAAGTACAAATGCTGTTAATAAGAGTAAATCAAAACACAATGAACTGAAGTTGTTGAAATTTTAAACAATAACAATTACTAAAGTCATAAAAATAAAAAAATATTAAAAGTTGAATATAATGTCACAATTCAATACAATTATTGAAAAAGGCATTTATTAATATCTCGTATTTCATGTATTTTGCATAATAATAACATAACTACAACTTTAGGGAAGATTACTGACGGAAAACAAAACCGACTTCTAATATCTCGCTCTGTATTCATTTTATAATTGATTTTCAGGAGTTATATAAGTATCTCCGGAGCCCAAGATCCAGTACCAATGAAATTTATAAGGGACCACATGGGAAGCATCAAATTTCAAATAAAAAAGAATCATCAAAATCGGTTCACTCCGTCGAAAGGTCTGAGGTAAGAAATATAAAAAAAATACAGTGTAAATGAGCACCTCCTTTTTTGGATTCGGTTGAAAATGGCGTGGAATAAGATTGGAGTGCATGTATTCACAACGCACGAGCCCGCCTGTTTATAAACGGTGGTCATTTCAATATTCGACACAGTTTAACGCGATGGCTCGACATGTATTGCTGCTTTTGTTTTGTGGCCTACTCGTTCGCATCCATGCCGCTCCAGGTATGAAGGGACATTGTAATTTATATTCGAGCTAGTTATGAATAGCCTACTTAAGAATGCAAATTTGTGTGAAAAGAAATTCTTTAATACGGCTGGCGGATAGGGGTACTGGAAAGACACGGCGGTATGCTGTCGGCTGTCCCATTTCAAAACGTAATAAGGACTTGAAACTAGATTTAATAACTAGCACATAACACTGAAATGGGGTAGTCTTTCTTAAACAAACATATCAATATTTTAATACAAGTGTATGTTACATATTTTATGTCCCTTACTAATTTTGAAAAATGAAAAAAGACAATTAGGTTCGAGTAGGAACCATTTTAACAACATCACTTGCTAGGTTCTGTTATGGTTTATGGAAAGCGGAACTTAGAATATCTCATTCAATAAATTGTAGTAACTTTAAAGAGTGTGTTATTTTTTTGATAAAGACTTTTAATAATTTATAAAACATAACAAATCATAGCTCTGCAGCTGCAAACATAGACAGTCAACAGACGAATGGTTGACAGGTAAATTATGCCAAAATTCCTTTCTTTCTTCACGCGGACATCACATATCTTCGATATATTTTTTTTGTTACTATTTCGAAAATATGCAGGTTTCCCCACGATGTTATCCCCACCGCTGAGCACGTGATAAGTGAGCAGTTAAAATTAACAATTTCATTGGTGCCGGCACCGGGGATCGACCTCAGGTTCCTCGAGCATTTAGAGTCGAGCGCACGGACACAGATCTATCACGGCAGCACGATTTTTGTTAAGTGTCCCTTACTAGGTTTTAAAATGGGATAGCCGCTGTGTGCGTATGCTTATGAGTATCAAGCACGCGACGCGACAGGAACGCAATGCGTCGTTAAGTGTTATTTTGACCTTATTACAAGCTCTTTGCAAGTCATGTCATCTCAAGTTCATGTTAGTGAAACTGCATGTAGAGTGTTCTGTTTGTTTTACATATCATTCCCACAGCGTCCGTTAGAATGGAAATAGAAACAGATTTTCGATAAAATCTGTTATTTTTTTCATTCTAGTATCTCCACACAATTCACTTTAATGTATACAGCCTTACTAAAGAGGATATTGAAATTAAACGGCTCTCTCGTAAACTTTAAATGTTTTAAGGTTTTGGAGGTGGAAGTGACTGGAGTGGCATCATCGTAGCAGACGGTGGATTTGCAGATGGTGGCGGCTTTGAAGGCAAAGGAGGCAGCGACGAATTAGCCGGTGGTAATGGAGGCAGCTTGGGCAACGGAGCTCGCTTTGATGGTCAAAGAGGCGATGACGTACTCGATAGCGTTTGCGGGGGCGTTGGGTCCGATGCTAGCGACGTTGCTTTAGGCGACGGCAACGGACTAGGCGGTGGCGTTGTAGAAGAACACAGCGACGGCGATGAACTTAGCGTTGGTGGACTGGAAAGCGGAGGTGGGCCAATCGGCGGTCACAGGAACTCGAGGGGCCAGGTTCCACCGCCAGCGCTAGCGGTTGCCTCGGCAAAGGGAGCTCCAGCACTAGCGGCCAGGCCAGTTCTAGCGGCCAGGGCAACTCTAGCGCCCACGCCAGTTCGAGCGGCAGTTCCGTCTCCAACGGGTGAGCTTTTTTTTATTATTTTTTTTTTTAAAACATTGCCCTTACTTTAGGTAGGGTTATCCTGTGTTGCAAGGACGTTTTACATACATAAATTTCACGTGGACAATCAACCAGATGCGAAACAACTATCTGTGGGTCGCACAAATTGTTGTTCCGTGTGGGAATCGAACCCACGATCCCCGACGCCGAAGCCAGTACTTTGACAACAGCGCCACGGTGTCACCAACTGTTAGCTTTTATTCATTTAGTTCTTATCCATTACATTTTATTATATGTAAATCTAAACTTAACCATCATCTAAAATATTGTATACAGACCAAAACTGGGGATGTTTTAACATGATAGAGAATTTACAGATACCGTATTCTTAATAATTTTCTAGTAAATCTAGCTGTTACTTATGTTAAAAACTAAACACAGCTTGCACATTACTGAACAAATAGTGCTTATAAAAATCATCGTTTCTTAAAATATTAATAACGTAGTGCTTAATAAAAATATCACAATCAATTTTTTTTATAAAGTGTTCTAAAAAGTGTCTATACATATTCAATATAAGTAATCAAGTAGAAGTGTCTAAGAAATAAAAGTTAGAATGTTTAAAATCAGTCCACCAGTTTAATATCTTATCCTTTAAACGAGCAATTCTTGTATATATATATATAATAGCTCTTGTATCTTGTATCTTGTATTAACTGATGTTTTTGCTTTCAGTCCCGAGACTATTAAAGCTTCATCGGACGCAGAACCGGTGGGCTAGCCAGAACCCACGGGTTTGGACCCTCCGCTATGGGTAGGGTCGCGCATGTGCTCATGCGTGCGTTTAACTACTATGGTGTGTCATCTAAGGGCCGTCGAGGTCGCCGGTTCGGACCGAGACCCCGACGGCCGTCGACTGTGCATTTAGCTAATCGGTGGCTGGGAGCGGTGAGAACCGCCCCGGAACGCGAGTGTACCTTGTGTACGCGTTGTGTGGGTCTCGCCGTGCTCGGAGGCGAGGGCGAACTGGTGTGATTGTTGTTACACTAACTGTGGGTGTAGTGTTATCCGGCGGGACCCCCGGCGGTGGGTCCATCGTATATAATAGCTCGGTCGGTAATCGGGCGGCCCCAAAACAGACGGCTGCGGTTCGTATCACGATCATTTACACACTTATTTTTTTTACTCTTTTTTCTATACCAGATCATTTTCTTTATTTTTTATCTTTTTTAGTTTCTAAAATACATGATTTACAAAAAAAACCGAGCAAAGCTTTTCCAGGTACTTTTTGTGATGCGCAAACAACGGCAGAACTCTATAATTTTATTCATATAGAAAGATAAGAACGGTATCATGAAGATAAATACCCGAATGTTTTGAAACTATAAATTCTAATCCATAAAACTGACTGGTACGGAACACTTCGTGCGCGAGTTCGACTCGCACTTGGCCGGTTTCCACTAGTTATTATATATTTTTGTTACAGATGCTAGTCGGCCGTCAGGCGCACAAATCGATCGCTGGAAGCAAATGCACCAAGCCCCACCTTTCAATGTTCAAAAATTTACAAGTCTAGATGTTATAATAAATAAATAATTAGTGTCCATGTTAAGTAAATATATGAATTTAAAATAATTTTTAATATATCTTTGAAAAGAAAAAATCACATTCTTTGTATGTAATGTCTTCTTAATTTTCGTGCTTTTCTAGTGCCCGAGTGTTTATATATCTGGAATATGTATTTATTTACAAAAGAAAATATGTTCGAGTATATTTTTCAGTTGCCTAATCCGTAATTCAAGCTTTGCTTAGTTAGGGATTAGATAGCGTTGCGTAAAAGTATACCTTGAAAATATTTATTTATCTACTAGTGGACCCGATAAACCTTATATTATACAATAGATAGGTCACTCGACTTAAATCCGACAACAACTTATAAATAAAAAAAAATCGAGTCGACCTGAAGACAAAAAAATTTCATTAAAATCGGTCCAGCCATTTAGGAGGAGTACAGTACACACACACGCACAGTCGAACTAAATATATAAAGAACTAGCTTGTCGCCCGCGGCTTCGATCGTGTTGTAGCCCGTAAATAAATATCTTTCAACACTTTACGACACTTTTTTCTAAGTAAAAAATAGCCTATGTCCTTTCTCAGGCTCTAGACTATCTATATGTGTACCAAATTTCATTTAAATCGGTTCAGTAGTTTTGGAGTGAAAGCGAGACAGACAGACAGACAAAGTTACTTTCGCATTTATAATATTAAGTATGGATTAGAAACGATAATATTATTAACGACATTTAACGACAGTATTTCCATATGCATAATCAGTGTAAGTTTGCACTGTGCAAGTAATATATACTTTCCTCATTGTATATCATCTGTGTGCTACACATTATATTAGTATGGATTACTAAGCAATAAGTGCTAGGTAAACATTACCTAGGACACAACAACTCGTCAATAACTTCGTGCACATTCTCTGAAGCAATATAGGCGTGACGTGGTCATTAGATATGATATTCGTCATGCGCATTCGTTCATCTTAAGGTCCACCCGTTGGTAGACACCTTTGAGGTCATTGAACTGCATATAGTACATAGTTGGTAACATACCTAGGTCCTCCAACGATTCTGCGATGATACCGGTTGCAACTCCAACAGAGGTCAATCAGCGAATTAAACCCGGATGGACAGCGTTCGGGGTACTTCGGCATATCTTCTCGTCGATTATCCATCAACGTTTCGATCAATGTGTGTTGCCAATGCCTATGAAACTGAGCATTGGTCGAATAAGCTGAAAAGTCACTTAACGACCTATGGAGCGGGCTATGCTCAGTATTTCTATGCGTGATAGTAAGCTTAAGTGGTGGTGGGCCGGTTATATAGCTCGAAGAACCGATAACCGCAGAGAAGAAAGGTAGCCTCATATTGGTCATCCCCCCACTAGATAGAGTGACGACCTGTAAAGACTGCGGGAAGTCGATGGATTCAGGTGGCTCACGATTGTGATTCATTTCTGATGATTGCTGATGATATATACAGTGCAGATATTTAATAATTTTAATGATTGCTTTTTTGAAGTTATAATAAATGCACCTACTTACACTTGCAGATTGGTAATGATGGCATTAATTCCGCCTTTGTACACTATGTTTGCGTATAAAGAACAAATAAATAATTTGCAAACCACATCATTAAATCAAATCCTAACCATTAGTTCAAAAAGAAAGAAATAAAGAAAAATTTAGAAAGAAAAGAAAAATAAATTCAGAAAGAAAAATCCATTCTCAGAGACACTAAGAAGGATGTACATATATTCTTGTAACTACGGTACCAGGATGTCATCATATCAGTGGGCAATATTGCATGAAATATAGCTGCGTACGTTTTAGTTGAATACATACCGTATGAATACATACACAGGTAGACTACTCGTATGACGAATATACACTAAGCATTGCCAAAAATAATAACAAAGGAGATAAGAAGTGTTGAACTGAGCGTAGAAGGCCCCAACAGAATATGAACCATAATGTTATGTAGCTATAATGTGTACTAAAAAGGATTAACATAATTATTCGTCAGACGGTATTCAACAAACTACCTCCATCGTTATTTGTTGCCCTGGTACATTCGGTGCCAGTTCACGTGGTCGTGACTGTGGCATGAGCAAGCGATATGTTTCCTTTCATATTTCCACGTTTTCTTTCTCTTTCCCGCTTTCACTACTCTCATTCATACGCCATTACGGCTTTTGGTGTGATGCTGTTTCACATCCAAATTGATTTTCAATAATGTGTCTTATTACCAGGTCAAAGCTGTGTTTGTAGTCTGAGCCAATGCCAAAATCACTAATCAATATATTGCACTCACCCAATTTTCCACGCATTGACTAGACTACTCGCACAGGATGCACTCACTACTCGCATTCTTTGACATCCTAGTACATACATTGCTTAAACACGTATTCGGGAAAAAAGCAACAATGACAAACGTTTATCCAATTAAAATTAACAAATTAAATGAAACTAGTTTACGGATTTTATCGCGTTTTTGTTTTGTTTTGAATTCCTCACGTTTCGAACCATTTTCGCCGTTATGTATATATTAACAAATTGACAAATTTTCCACATATATGCTCTATACTGCGAATTTTTCTTGTAAATAAAACATGTCTTCGGCCGTGAAATTCCACCAACCATCTCAAAGTTTCAGTTTTTGTTGCGGCAACACAAATGCATCATCTGTGAAAATTTCAACTGTCTATCACGGTTCATGAGATACAAACTGGTGACAGACGGACAGACAGACAGTCGTTATAATAGTGTGCCGTCTTCCCTTTTGGGTATGGAACCCTAAAAAAGTAATGGCTACCCCTAAGAAGCAGGTGTTTTTTTAGTATTGGTTTTTATTATACAATACAGACCCGTTTCACTAGAGAGAGGCTTCACACAGGTGCAATGTATTATATATATATAAACCTTCCTCTTGAATCACTCTAGTTAGTTAAAAAAACCGCATCAAGATCCGTTGCGTAGTTTTAAAGATCTAAGCATACAAAAGGACAGACGGGCAGCTGGACGACTTTGTTTTATACTATGTAGTGATGATTAAGAGCAATGAGAAACTGCTATTAACACAGAGATGAAAATGAAAGTACAAAAGAAAACGTACAAAGATTTCCTCGAAAAAGTTTTCCTTGTCGAGCCGAAAGATGTTCCCATGTTAGTATTTAAATTTTAACTGTAAACTGATCCTCATCATCATCATCATCATCATTTCAGCCTGTCCGAGTCCACTGCTGAACATAGGCCTCCCCCATACACTGCCATGAAGTACGATCCTGAGCCACCTGCATCCATCGACTTCCCGCACATTTGCACAGGTCGTCACTCCATCTAGTGGGGGGTCGTCCTACACTGCGATGGCCAGTACGAGGCTGCCACTCGAGAACCTTTCTTCCCCAACGGTTATCGGTTCTACGAGCTATATGGCCGGCCCATCGCCACTCCAGCTTGCTAATCCTCTGAGCTATATCGGTTATCTTAGTTCTACTGCGGATGTCTTCGTTACGAACTCTATCACGCAGAGAAATACCGAGCATAGCCCGCTCCATAGCTCGCTGAGCGACTTTGAGCTTCCTCATACGGCCAGCAGTGAAGGACCATGTCTCGGTTCCGTAGGTCATCACTGGCAACACACATTGATTGAAGACTTTAGTCTTCAAACATTGAGGTATATTCGACGAGAAGATTTGCCGAAGTTTCCCGAACGCTGCCCATCCGAGTTGGATTCGCCGATTGACCTCTGCGTCGAAGTTGGACTTACCTAGCCGGACTAACTGTCCTAGGTAAACGTACTCGTCAACAACTTCGAGCTCAGTGCTCCCAACAACAACCGGTATAGGCGTGACATGGACATCCTACCTGTTTATTATTATGTGCAGAAGACATATTTAATTTTTCGAACTGTATCAAATAATAGCCGAAAGGTACTAAAGAAAAAACAATTTTACCTGCTTTTTTACAAGTAATAGGCTTGCATTTTTGTTCCAGCTGCTACACAGGTCACTGGACACTATAGATTGACCTTTCCCTTTCGTTTTTTCGCACACATACAAAATGCTCATTCAGCCAGGCGGGCGGTACCCGTTGTAACTTCTGTTGTCCTAGTACTTTACTATGTCTAAACACGTACTTTGCCTGTGACTATTGGGTTTTATGGTTGTTTGTTACCACACTAAAAAAATATTAAACGTAACTAAGAAAACAAAACAAACATTTAATATGAAAACGATTTTTGTGTAACGATAAACTTTTTCTTATTTTATACATGGAATATCAATGCCTAACGCGCCCTGGATAACGTTGGCAAGGTCACACATTTATACAGACGACGATCTTCCTAACTGGCGTTGAATTAAATCGATAAGACTGTCAAATTGTAAAAAGTTATCGATTAAGTTTACATCTTCCTAATGTTGTGTTTTAATGCTTCTTTAAACTAAATAACACATGCTCCGGAGCACGCAAGGAAATGTTATGGAATAATCAATAAATTTTAGGAAATGAATTTTCATTCTACCGGAAATGGCACAGGGAATAAAAATGATTCGTTATTTTTCTTTTGTCACGCTAAAGAAGTATATAATTTTCTACGTACATACATAAGTACAAACATACTTTTTTATGTTAGTAATTACTACAGATCTCTATCGTTTATGAACCGATCTTAAACTTTTTTTGTTCCGATGCGGTCCCATTTCATCGGATCAAAAAAATTCATTCCATTTCATTGATATTTGGACCTTAGGCTCCAGAAATAAATAATAATTAGAAAATATATAGTGACTGGATTATTTGAAGTCGATTTTGTTTTTCGTTAATAATAATTTTTAAATTGATGGTTTCAAACACGTCATTACCTTACGGGTAGATTTCGTCGTTTTACAAATCAATCTTTACATAGTATAAAAACAAAGGTGCCCCGTTGTTTGTACTCTTAGATCTAAAATTACGCAACGGATTTTAATGCAGTTTACAACATTAGTTAGAGTGATTCAAGCGGAAGGTTTATATGTAATAT